CGCTGGGACCCGGTGTGACACCCGGTGGGACCCTCTGTGGGACCCGGTGTGAGACCTGATGGAACTCCCTGTGAGACCCGCCGGGACCCTTTGTGGAACCCGCTATGAGACCCGGTGGGACCCGCTGTGGGACCCTTTGGGCCCCGATGGGACCCCCTGTGAGACTCGCTGAGACCTGCTGGGACCCACCTAATGTGCGGCACTGTGAGGAGACAGGTCCTGGTCTCCAGCCTCAGTCACTGAGAGTTGTCTGTTCTTTGTGCTGGGGTCAATAAACAGGCAGTGCTATGTCACTTTTATCGTTCTGTTAAGTATTCTTTCTGTTCTGCAGCTTGTGGTGTTCTGGCTATTGACAAACCCATCACCTTGGTACTGGCAGAAGATGGAACCATTGTGGATGATGAAGATTACTTCTTGTGTTTGCCACCTAACACCAAGTTTGTGGCACTGGCCAAGGATGAGAAATGGTCCAGCAAAAGCTTAGGTATGCTGTGAGTGAGGAAGCATAGAAGGGGAGGTGTGTTTGGAACACACCTAGTGACAGTAGGCAGGGTCAGGTGAGAGGAATGACCCATGAAACTGGTGGCTCTTGTGTCAGACAGTGGAACATCCTGGCTCTCGGAGTCTGTGGATGAAGTGGACAGTGCTGCCGAGAAGTGGAAGCAGCTGGCCAGGCAGCTGAAGGATGACCTGTCCAACATCATCCTGATGTCTGAAGAGGACCTGCAGGTACAGTGGGGAAACCCCCAGTCCCTGTCCTTGCATCTGCCCATCATTTATTTATCTCAGTAGAGAACAGACTCCATAAACAAGAGCTCAGGCTTAATTCAGATGCTGCTTTTGGCTCTTGGTGCTGGAGTCAAACTTCTCCTGGAAGGGAAACATTCAAGTGTCCAAAGATGCTCTTAATCCCCAACTATCCGAGAACAATTGCAGTTCTGGCAAAAAATTGAGATTTGGCCAAATGGCAACTGAGATCAGGTCATTCCTTATAGCCAGACACACATTGTGTGGTGCCTCCCCTGTGTAACATGGCCAGAGGGGAGGCTGAGCAGCAGGCCAGGTCTGTCTGCTCCAGAGGGCTTTGAAGAACTGCTGTCACTCTCCAGAGCTGATTGATTCAAGTTTCTGACTGCTTAACACCTTGTCTGTGGTGAGGCACGGCAGTAACTGCCCCCTCTTGTTCTCCCCAGTGTGCAGCTTCCCAGGTGCCAGGCTGCTGCCTTTCCTTTGAATATTTCCATGCACTGTGAAGTTGTGCTTTGCCATTAGTTTTCAAGCTTTCTGCTAAAATTGCACATGATTCCACACCTTCTTGGGTGCCTTTGGTTTTTAGTAAAAAATGCTGCCTGGTGTAGTGCCACTACAGCCTCTCAGAACTCGGGGGCCTTGCTGTGACCAGAAACCTTGTGGAACACGCTTGGTTTCAGGAGGGTTTGTACGTTCTGTTTGTACTGCAGTGAGTGCCATGAAATGAGTTACTCAGGAGCCCTCTCCATGTTTTAAGGTGCTTATTGATGTGCCACGCTCAGAGCTGGCAGAAGAGCTTGCCCAGAGTGAAAGCAAAGTGCAGGTGCTGCAGGACACCCTGCAGCAGGTGCTGGACAGGCGAGAGGAGGAGCGTCAGTCACGGCAGCTCCTGGAACTCTACCTGGAGGCCTTGAAAACTGAAGACAGCATCTTAAGCAAAGTTGCAGGTAGGGAGCATTTGTGTGCTAGAGAAGGAGGTTTTCAACTCCTGCTGAGTGGAATAAATAAAGTAGAGTGAGTCATTTGATCAGCTGCTGTTAAATGGGGTTGATGCAAGAGCTATACAGTGTAAGAATTCTCTGACCAGAGAGACCTCTTGCTGCTGTGTCACATTTCTCACAAAGCCTGAAAGCAGAATACTGGGAGAAAAGCTTAGATCCTGGAGTCCTCCTTAAAAAAATGAAAAATTATGGATTTCTTAAGTTCCAGGATGCACCAAGATTGGATGTATATTTTATTAATCTCACAACCATCAGAGCAGCCCAGGCCACTTTTCCTGTCCTGTGCTGATCCGAAGCTGTACTGAAAAGGAGTCTGCTCCTTTTCAGAGCCTGAGGCTGCAGCGAGGAAGGAGATGGATGTGGTTGACACAGGTACCAGCAGCACAGACACTTCAGCCACAACAGCACTCAGCGACCAGGTCCTCACTGCTCTGAAAGAGAAACCTGCTCCAGAGCTCTGCTTGGACAGTCAGGATCTAGAGGTGGGTGAGAATGACACAAACCATATTCTGGCAAAGCTCTCCCTCCAAAAGAGAGGCTGGAGCTCCTCTGTAACAGACATTGGTCCACACACTCTGTTCTGTCCTCTGAAAAGCCACAAAATAATTTTGGGTTTGGTCTCTGACAAATCAGTCAGCTGTCTTACCAGCAAGGTTCTTTGGGGTTTTTTATAGGCTTATACATCCAGGTATGTTTCTTTTATTCATCCCAAATCAAAATAAAAACCTCCTTACTTTGGAAAAAACTCTAAATATAGATTGGAAAGTCTAGATAAACTGTAACCATTGAGGAAGGTGTTCTTTCCAGCTGTGAACTTGCTACTCTTGCATTTCCCTGCTGTAGAAAGTAAGTAACTGCTTCCTCTTCCTTTGCACACCTGAACATAGCTTCAAGCGTTGAGTGTTGGCAAATGACTGGAAATCCATTAGCCCACAGGCTAGGTGATGAGAGCTGGGAACATCTGCAGTTCCAAAGCTGTTAATTCAACAGAGGGTTAGAGGCCAGGGAGTCGGCAGAAAAGTCTGTTAACAATCTGTCTTGCTCCAGCTGGTGTTGAAGGCAGACGCAGCAGCCCTGGCCTCGGCTCTGGGATGGGACAAGCAGAAGGCTGGAGCTCTGCAGTCAGCCTGTGACCAGGAGCTCTCCAAGCGCCTCCAGCAAGTGCAGACCCTGCACTCTCTAAGGAGCACGTCCAAGGGCAAGAAAACGCTGCCCTGGGGGGACTGGCCCAGTGCAAAACGCAGAAAATAACACTGCATTGCTGTTTGCAGCTGGGGTTTTGCTTTTGCATTAGAATCAGTGCAAGCAAAGACACATCCTGGAACCATAGTTTGCTGGTCATACTGTGGGCTGGCTATAGAACAGCTAAAATCTGGACATTGTCCTGAGGCTTAAACTCCTCTGGTGATTTGAATTGTGTAAGCAAAGGGATTTTGACTTTTTGCAGAATGCTAGAACAATGGTATTGCTAAGCACAGCATGTAAGTGTTGAGCTTTCAATACCTGGTTGGTAGCCAGCAGCTTCCATCTGATAATGGTGGGTACAGCTCCTGAAGCCCCAGGCAGTTTGCTTACTTTGCTCTCCCACCATTTGCAGTGTAAAAAGGATGGAGGATGTCTGGAAGACACTCTGAGGCACAGTCAGTGATCAGGGCAGAGGGGATACCCAGCTGCTGCCTGGCTTTAAGCTCCAGCCTGGGATTTAGGAACCTGAATTCTCATGCTGATTTAATCAGTTAAAGTAAATTCAAAGTCCTTCAACTTCAGTGCTTTTTCTGTAAGGAACTCCTGCCTCTTGGATGCTGTCTAAGAACTATCATGTAAAACACAGCAAAGGCAGAAATAATTGCTTTGTAAGGCTGTGTGACAGAAGACTTGCATTTGGCCTGCTGTGTTATTCTCCTAATCATTAGTGTAGCATCATGATGCTTTTATATTAACTGGCTTATTTTTAAATTTGTTAAAGTCTTTTTTTCTAACATCAATAAAACCTTTTTATCTTACTTTTGGACTAGTTTTGATATTTCTACCAGCTGCTATAATTAAAAAACTGGGCTGATAAATACAGTATTACCTTAAGGAAAGAGGATGAAGAAACTGAACACAGAAGTACTGTCTTTAACTTATACAAAGTATTTAGACAAAATGTGTGTCCATCATGGTGACTGCCATGAACTCTCACCTGGCACAATCTGCTCTTCTTGTGTGAGAACAGCAGATATATATGAAAAACATCTGACAAGTGAGATGAAACTTCTGAGGAAGTTTTAGTGGGTACAGATGTATTTTGTAGCAGCATGCTAAATCCTCTGATCTAGCACAGCTTTAAATGGCCCAGGGTGAGTATTCCTACAGCAGGCATTCAGGTGAACCCGTTGCATGCAACAGTCCAGCTAAATTATGGCACAATCAGAGTTAGACTGCAATAATAATAATTATAATAAATTATTATAATTATTATTATTATAATAATAATAAATATTCTAAACAGTTTAGTAATTAAACAAAACTACTCAGGCTACCTTCAGGTGAAGCGAGCCAGATGGGAATTGACTGGACTTAGGGGAGAAGCTTGCAGGCAACTTTTTGTCTGTTTTGCTTCTGACCATATTTAGATTGTAATATTATAGGCCATGGCAGGTAAAAAGGTTTCCTGGTGTTTGGAACAGGTACTTACTGCAAGCTTTTATGTCCAGTTTTTCTGCAGTCACATGGATGGCTGTGCTACCCCTGGAAATCCTCTTCCTTTGAGTAATTATTTTCATTCTTTGTAAGTTCATTTGCACTGGGTAAGGCTGTGCCAGCCCAGCAGAGGGCAGTGGGATCCCTGCCTGCAGTGCTCTGCAGCCACGGTGCCACCTGAAAATGGGAATTTCTGACAGTGACAACTGCACCCCTGGAGTGCCACAGCTGGGAAACAACACAAAACACCTCTAACTGCCAAGACAATGAGAGAGAGATGGCTTAGTAAAAACAAAATATTCAAAATGTCTGAGCAAAAACTGCAATACTGGAAGCAAGGAAAAAGTCAAAGAAGAGAAAATTTTACTAGAGAAAGTAGCAGAATGAAGGGTATTGCACATACTGAGTTATGGTTCAGTGAGAATGATCTATTCCAAAATCTTTATTTAAAGTATTTTAAGAACAGAGACCTTTTGTGAGCAATTAAGGCACTTTGTCCAATCGCATCCACTAAAGCTGAAGATTCATTACTGGAGCTAGCCTGCAAGATAAACAGGCTAACTCTGGTTTCTCTAGGACAGTAAGAGAAAACGACCTGAAACGTTACTGGAAAGATAAATCATGCCATGTTGGAATCTTCATTTTCAGTCACAGCTGCTTCTTGTTCCCCAGGAGTTCTCTCTCCCTTGGCTGCACTGGACTTCTTTTTCTTCTTCTCCTTCTGCTCCATGTTACTTGATGCAAGCTCTTCACTCTTCTGAGTGATATATTTTAGCTGGGAACAATAAGCTAAACAATCAGTCCTCTACTGAGAAACTTCATTCACTCACAAGGCATTAGTAAGAAATACTGAAGAGAAATTTACAGGAAAAATTATTATTATTAAAAGAAAAATGAGAGACTCCAAAAACATTTGCTTTGCCTTCTCAGGCAAGTTCATGTTGTGTATTTCAAATCATATATGGAAGGAAAAAAATCTCCTCACATAAAAGTAAAATTAGAAAATTGGAATTAGTAAAATTGGAAGCATTTTTCATGGATCAATGTATAGGCATGTCTTCACAGATTAGTGAGTTTTATCCATGGAGCATCATATAGATCAGCACAGGAGGGAATACATTGATTCTGTGATCCCTATAATTAATGTTGGGAGACTCAGCACCTTGGGCAAGCTATTCCTGACCTTAGGCTACAAGAAAGAAACACAACATCAGGAAAAAGCAAAGTGATTCACAGTGCTGTGACTGCTCATTGCACATCTGAACTTGGAACTTCAGCAGCCCTGGTGCAACGAGAGCACTGCTCTTGAGCTGCAATCAGAGCTGTGTTACACCTCACCACAGTGAGGCAGAGTGAAGCAAAGCAAGATGAAAATTTAAAAATCACTGGATTGTGCCTATCTATCTCAGAAGACAGTGAAATTGCTTATGCAGCAGTTGCTTCACCATGTACAACCTTCATTCAAATGAATTAAGGAAAATTAAGGAATTAAGTTCATTTTAGGAATTAACTGTTTTAAGAATGTCGGAAGACAGTAAATACAGTGCATCTCACCAAAGAATTGCTTCTTCTAGCCAAAAGCTTCACATCTTCTGTAGTGACCGTGGTTCGTTTTGCATGCCTGCATAACATCAAAAAACACTCCTTAACATTTTTGCCAGCACATACCATAAGAGGACAAGATCAAAAAGTACAGGGAATTTCTATTTCATAGAAAACATAACACACTATTTAAAAAGCCCTTTTAAAGCTTGAATTATAAGATGCGCTTTAAAGATAACACAAAAAAAAAAAGGAAAGCCTTTGTAACAATCAGTGCATACCTTGCAAACATTTCAAGATCTTTTGCGAAGATTTCTAGAGAAAACACAAAGATGTCATATATTTTAAAACACTGAGTGGGCAGAGATACACAAGTTATCCAAGGCAGTTATGAGAAGTGACCAGAGCTGGCTGTTAGGCAACACTCGTACACAAGCAGGTAGCCACACAATACATCTAAATGCTTTTTTCGGGTCTGAAAAGTCGAACTAGTATTTCTTGTACTTAAAATAAGAAATAATACAAGAGAATGCCCCGGTGACACCGAGTTGGATGCTATTGGTTTTGAAGCCCTGTGCCTCCAGCGCTAGCTCCTGAACAGACACGGAACGCTGCGGTAACCCGGGTAACACGAGGCAAGTCGAGGTAACCCAGCTGTACCGCACTGCCGGAAGGTGATCTCCGAGATGGCTGCGATGCTCTGCTTGCTGAACTGCACGTCCTTGTCCTCCGCCACCTCCTGGCACAGGCACCCCACCGTGTAGTGAACCGCCGCCTTCAGCCTCTGCAGGGACCAAGGCAGGGGCAGGCAGTGACACACCGGCCTC